CACTTTTCTCGATTACAAATTTAATGCTCTCCAAGGCCGCCTAAGCTAAAGACCTCTGGGACTCAGCTGTAAAAGAGTAAAGAACATGAATTCAAATCTGTTTTCGACTACTATGAATCCTGGCTCTACCATGAATTGGTTATATTAGAAGGACTAAATGAGGCAATGAATGCAAAGAACAGAATGCTAGCATTTGACACATGGTAGGATCTTAGTGATAGGTTTTTTCTTTTTTTGGTGCTGAGGGGATTGAATCCAAGGCCCTGCACATGTTAAGACCACACTCTACCACTGAGCTATTATTCAAAAAATTTAAAAATAATCTATGACTCTGAAGAAACAAGAGTATAATATGCAGTGGTGGCCCTTGTGTCGATACTCATTTCTTTCCACTGGGCCAGGCTGCAGTGAACCCTGGGGTGTCTCCTTCACCACCTGGAATGTGCTCTGGTGAGGACATGGGCTTCAGAGCTGGTTTGCCTAGGCTCAGTTCCTGACTGTCTCTTTCTACCATTCTGCCCTATGTGACCTCTGTTTCTCTAGCCCAATTTCGTCATTCCCCAAATGGGATGATAATAGAACTTACCTCATGTGGCTGATACAGAGCTAGGACCAAGCAGTATCAACAAATATAATTCCTTTGCTCTCTAAGTGACAATGATGATAATGCATCATTTTCCTATTCATGCTTCTTTACATCTTCACCTCCTCTGTGTCCAATGTGAAATCCTTATTCCTATTGGGCTAACAATCTTACTATTTCCCCTCTGACATATCTGTCACTTTACTTGTGGTTTTTGTTTTTTGCAATACTAGGGATTGAACCCAGGGCTACCCTATCATTAAGCTACATCCCCACCCTTTTTTATTTTATTTTTTAATTTTGAGACAGGGTTTTGCTAAGTTACTGAGGCTGGCCTCAAACTTACTATCCTCCTCCTTCAGCTTCCAGAGTAGCTCAGAATACAGGTGTAGCTGGGATTACAGGCAGGCACCACCATCCTGGCTCCTACTTGCATATTCTTTTTTCTCTGCTGAATGCCTCTTCTGCAAGCTCCTCGCACTCCCTACCACATTCTTTTTCATCTCCTAACTGCAGTGATTAAGCCATGCTTTCATTCACCCCTGATCTTTGCCTAGGCTGCTCCTTCTGCCTGCATTTTCTGCCCTTCCCTTTACCTCTCTCTGCCTTGCTAACTCCTACTCACTTCTCAGATCTCAGCTCCAGGATGCCTGTCCCGAATTCCTTTTTTGCCCATGTTGGCCAAGTATCCTCCTAGCCACTAATAACCCTCTCTATTTCCAATCTGACCTCCAGTCCCCATCACACGGATGACACTGAGTTCCAACTACCTGTTCATCTACAAGTGTGAATGAGTGAATGTATTTCCTCAAACACATCAAGGTCTTTCTTGGCTCATGCCCGTGAAGCTCAATCTATCTAAAATACTCCTCCCTCCACTTCTCATATGGGTCACCCTTTCACCTATCTTAAGGCCTCCTTTAGGGTTGAAAGCACCACCTCCTACAGGCGTTTGCCAATAACCATAGTTTAAAGTAGGTCTCCATTTCCCTTACTTTTTCTCAACCTCTTGTTTAATTTTTCTATAGTGCTTACTACAACTTATTTTTTTTAAAGAAAGATTTTTTTTTAGTTGTCTATGGGCCTTTATTTATTTATATGCGGTGCTGAGATTTGAACCTAGGGCCTCACACATGCCAGGCAAGCGCTCTACCACGGAACCACAACCCCAGCACCTTACTACAACTTTTAATCATGTAGTTACTGTCTATTTACTTTTTTGGGTCTCTCTTCTGCGCTGTCACAGATCTATAAGGGCAGGACCACAATAGATATAGTCACTCTTTATGGCCAGCACCTGATAATAAATGTTTGCAGGATAAATAAAGACAGTTATTCTGCAGATCCCACCATCTGCATGGTCTTCTCACTCTATGTCAACGCACACCAACGTTTCCCTTCCAGAATCCCTCTAGTACTCACACTCTGCTTAGGAGTCTGAAGAACTATCTGGATCAGGATCAAGTTTAATTTCCTGTGTGTCTAGAATAATGTATCTTATTTTATTTTGCCAACCATATTCTGAAGTCTCAAAGTCAGGTATCACTGTCAAAGGCTAGTCAAGGGTTGATTATCCAGCAAGTATTTAATCACTACCTCTTGAAATGACTTAAACAGAGAAGGCTGGGGTCTAGATCAGTGTTTAGCATGCATGAGGTTCTGGGTTTGATCTTTAGCTCTGCGAGGTGTGGGGGAAGAGGGAGAGAGAAAGGGAAAGATATTGATTGATTCCCACCCTCAGTTCTGTCCTTATACAATCCTTTCCGTTTCACCTGTAAATTCAATGCTACTTTCGCCTTTTTTAATATCATCTAAGTTGCTCAGCTGCAAATCCACACTTCCTGAGTCATTGTCAGAAGCACAGGGGATCACTACCTCTTCTTGACTGAAGAACCTAAGAATGAAGAGGAGATAGGAAAAATTAAGTTTTTCAGAACTGCTTCTCTCTCACCCTTCAATTGGAAGCCTAAATGTCCCTCCCAGAGAGGCATTTATTGATCATCAATCTACATTAGATAGCCTCTCCACCCCAGTCCACAGTTGTTCTTTTTATTGCAGTATTTAATTATCATCAACAATTATCTTGTTCATTTGGATTCATTGTTTGTGTCCTATCAGACTATACACTGTATTAGTGGAGAAACCTTGTCTACATGGTCATAATCGTATCCCATCCCTAGCACCTACAATACTGGCAGCCTCATGGGGACTGAATGGATAGTGAGAAACAAAATATACTACTGTGAGAAGCTGCCTCAATCCCCCTTACCCTTGTCTACTTTTACTCTTTTCCATAACACATAATACCTTCTATCATATAAATTTTTATTTATTATTGGTGCTAGGGATAAAACCCAGGGTCTGGCACATGCTAAGCCTGTGCTCTACCATGGAGCTATCTCCTTAGCCCAATTCAGTTAGTTATGATGTTCATTGTTTGTCATCTATTTCTTCCTTTTATAATGTAAGCTTCAGTCCTTGGTGCAGTGGTGCTAGCCTGTAATCCCAGTGACTTGGGAGGCTGAGGCAGGAGGCTTGCAAGTTTGAGGGCAGGCTTAGCTAATACAGTGAATGGCTGAATAGATTTATATTTACTGAATGTTTAACACAGATGAATGAGCAAAAAAGCATTGCCTTTTGTTCTTGTTTTTTATATTGGCATGAATATTAAATGTTGACAAAGATGTGTAGAAAAAACCTTATGAATTGCAGTTGGAAATGTGAATTGGTACAATTAGTTTGGAAATACTCTGGCATTATCTATAGTTGAAGGGTGTACATATACTAGTCACTATTCTACTCTTATCAATATATTTTCAAAGAAACTCTTACACATCTCTACCAGGAATATGTATAAAATTTTTGCAATAGCAATTATGGTTTAAAAAATGGAGACATCTTAAGGTCTAGAACAGATAAACTGTGGTATGTTCATCCAATGAAGTTCAACATAGCATGATAATGAATGAGTTTTAGCTATGTGCAACAAAACAGATAAATCTCAGAATGTTGGCAGAAAAGAGAAAGTCATAGGGAAAATATGCAAAAAAATCCATTCATACAATAAGAAATATGCAAAACTAAACAAATGCTTCTTGGTATTATAAATGTATATGACAAAACTACAAAGAAAAACAAGGAAACAATGTAAACTGCGGGATGGGACTCTAGAGAGGAGAGGTGGGGATGGAATGGGTAGGGTCAGAAAGAAGACTTCAAAGTCATGGTCCTGTTTGTTTAGGACAGAATTACTGGTGCACTGTTTCACTGTATCATTCTTTCCTCCTTATGTATGTTTTATAAATATTTAGTCAATATTAAAAGACTTTTGGGAAAAGCCCAAACGAATACAGTTTTAGCTTTATCGTGTGCATATATATTTCTTCAACAATAGTAACTAATTAAAAACAAACCAACCCTCTAGAATAGTTGGGTTGTATTGTAGGTTGTATAAATGACATTTTAAGAAGCTGCCAATTTTTTTCCAAAACGGCAGTACAAGTTTCCATTTCCACTAGAAGTATATGTTCCTCTACATTCTTGCCAACATTTGAAATTGTAGGTCTTTTTTATATTAACTATTCCAATGATACCTCTTTGTGGTTTTTCAGTGATGTTGACCATGCAGTTATTTCTTATTTGTATATCTTTTTTCAATGAAGGGCTTCTTAAAACTTTTGCCTGTTTATTGTTCGCAGTGGCATGCTGGTAAATATTCATAATAGTTAAAAGCAGATTTTGGAGTTGGGCTGACTCTGTTTCCCCTTAAAATTGTAAACAGAAAGATGACAAGGAATAAATGAGATAATGTATGTCGAGTGCTTAGTACACCGTCAGGCTGTATTGTAAACCCTTGATAATTGGAGTTAGGTATTAGTACTGTTCTTGGATAAGTCACTTCCATGTTTAAGTCGGTCAGATCTTTAAAATTGGGCTAAAACGCCCCTCAATTACTGAGAGGAGTCACTGATCTGTCTTGCAACTAAAACTTCACTGGGATCAGTTATTAACAAGCAAAGTGGCCATCTTTGAAAGAAAATGTCAATAATTTTCTAAAGAAACACAAAACCCCTTGAATATTCCTCTTCCACTGGACCCTTCCGTTCCTTTAAAGTTGGCCGGGCTGCAGACAGACCAGGGAGTGACAGAGCAGGTGGCCAATCACGGCGATTGGCCAATCCGAGGCGGCCCCGTCTTGGGCCCACCCCGAGGCCTGGTCCAACCGCGTCCGGGTAGCGCCCGGAGTGAGACCGTTGCGAGACGGCCGGTTCCAAGTGCGCCACGGCCCGGGGGGTAGGCAGGCCCGCACGCCGGAACCCAGAGGACCCCTGAGCGCGAGGATTGGAATCCGCAGCGCGGCTGCTGCGAGCGGCCGGGCCCAGCGGGACCGCGGAAGACTGACCTGTGCCTAGAGCCCATCCCGGCAAGCAAAGCCTGCTGCGAGTCCCTGGCGTCCCCTCCGGCGCGCTCTTCGAGCCACTTTCCCGAGCGGAAGTCAGCCTGCTGCTCAGGCTCCGGTGTGACCTGCTCGGAGGAATGGCGCCGCCGGGTGAGGCGTTGCGCATGGCTCAATAACTGGGTTCCGCGGCCGGCACGCTTAGGGGAGCGGGCTCTGGCCCGCGGGAGGCTAGTGCCCGCCACTCGGGAGCCGGCTAGGCGGGATCCCCTCCCCCTGCGGGGCAGGGGCAGGGGCATGGGCTCCAGCTCTTTCGGTGGCGAGGGTCTGACCGAGGGTAGCGAGCTGGTGCCAGTGCCCGCGACTAGCTGGGGGTTGGTGGGGGTGGGGTGGGGTGCAACGCGGAACTACGGGTCCCCGCTAAGACCAGCCTGTGGGTGGGCGAATTGCGGCCGCGCTTAACCCAGGCCTGGCTTCCCCCATTCATTTGACAAGTGCGGGCGGCCTAAGACCTGTCCCCGCTCGCCGCGGGCCACTTTTTGTTTCGTGTGAGCCTTTGAGCAAACTGCCCATTCTTTGGGCCATAGTTTCCTCTTCAGTGACAGAGACGAGAGAATCACTCTTCAGCTCTCTCTGGGAGCTTAGAGTCTAGGTTCTCAAGTTCTACTCTGGGCGCAAACTTGCAGCCTGCCACGTATTCTTTATATGACCTAGAGCCAGTTACTTGAGTACACTGCACCTCAGTTTCTCATCTCTAAGATAAGTACATTATTCGCTTCATAGAGTTGCTGCATTAAGTAAGATAATCTCGTGTATTTTAGAACAGCTCATGACACTACGTTAGCACTCAGTAAAGTTCACTGCTTTGGTGGTTACTGAGTGGACACAGCAGGATGGACTCCACAGCTCGTGTGTGTACTCTTGTTATTCCCGCGGGACACAGGCTGGAATCCTAGAGAGAAGGGAAATAACTTACACAAGGTAACTTTAATCAGCCCTGTGTTTAACTAAGAAGTAGTGGATACTATAATGGTCAAAGCCATAATTTGGATTCAAACTGCCTGTGGTATGATTCTCAGTTCCTTATGTGACTTAGGGCAGGTGCAGGTAAGCACTTCTGAACCTCAATTTCTTGGTCTGTAAAAGGCAGTAAATAGCCACCTCACTTGGTTGTTGTGAGGATTTAATGTCTCAGTTCATACAAGGTACTCAGTGTAGTTTGAGGTTTCCTGGCGTGTTACAGTGTCAAGTTTTAGCCAAATAGTTATTGCTATCAAGGTGGGAAGATGAGGGTCTGATGCAGATGCTGTGCTAGGGGAATTTACAGGCTAGCTGGGAAAATGCTAGTGATAGCAATCCACTAAGATTGCAGTATTGAATGCCTGCATGTACACTAGGCATTGGAGATTCAGCAGTAGTACCTCGACTCCTCTTTTCTCTTGCATCTTTTTGTCCAGTAGCAATCTGATAGGCTTTAACTTTGAATTCCAGCTAGACACTGGCCACTTGTTACCACCTCCGCTGCTGTTGCCCAGGATTGGACCACCCTGATCTGTTTACTTGAAATATAGTAGTAGTCTCCTAACTTTTTCCCCTCTTTCTGTCCTTGCTCCTGCATACTCTGTTCTCAACACAGCATTGCCTGTCAGCACTGTGATCCTGTTCAAATGTAAGTCAAATCACTCCTCTGTTCAGAACTTTACAGCAGTTCCCATTTTGTTCAGTGCCAGTCAGTCTTCTGTGGTGTTCAAGGCTCTCTGGAGTTGCCTCTGTCACTCCATCTTTACCTCTCTCCCTGGCTTACCTACCTCTGGCATACTGGCCATGCTGATCTTGAAAATAACCATGTGTCCCCCTGGTGTAGACTTTATACTTGTTTTTCTTCTTGGGATACTTTTTCCTCAAATAACAATAATGACTTGCTCCTCCTTCTTGAAGTGTAAGCTCAATATCTGTTTCTTCCTTGGTCCTTCGTAGACTCCATGCTTAAAATGCAGCCCTTCCCACATGTCCCTTCTGTATTTTTAGTTTTCTCCCTAGCACTTTTTACCTTGTAATGTGACAAATCATGTTTCTTAATTATTTTATGTTAAATCTTTGTTTTCCCACTTGAATCCAAGCTATCTGAGGGTGGGGAGTTTCCTGCTGTATTTTTTTTTTTTTTTTAGTTATACATGGACACAATATCTTTATTTTGTTTACTTATTTTTATGTGGTGCTGAGGATCGAACCCAGTGCCTCACATGTGCGAGGCAAGTGCTATGCCACTGAGCCACAACCCCAGCCTTTCTGCTGTATTTTAACACTTGAAATAGTGTTTATTCCACAGTAGCATTCAATATATATTTGATGAAAATTCCACATTATAGGTCTCTTTGTGGTTTTTATTGTTGTTGTTCATTTGAACCCAGGGTGCTTTTATCTCTGAGATATATCCCCATCCCTTTTTGGTTTTTATTTTGAGACACTGTCTCACTAAGTTGCTGAGGCTGGCCTTGAGCTTGCTTTCCTCCTGCCTCAGCCTCCTGAATCCCTAGGATTACATGACTGTGCGATGGCATCTGACTGTATTTTTCTCTTTATCCTCTGCAAGCATTGTACTACTGAGTTACCTCCCCAGTCTTTTCTTTTCTTTCTTTCTTTCTTTTTTTAATGAACTTTCACATTCTTTAGGTTAATACACACAAGTACTTAAATGAAATAAATGTTCATAGAATAGTTCTCTGCCTACCCCTAATATATATCATTCTCCAAAAAAATAGTGAAGCATGAACTCTTGTAGTGTTAGACCTAGGTTTGGATCTAAAACATGTGCAAGCTACTCTGGTCCTCAGTTTTCTTATTTGTAAAATGGATGTAATAATGTCTTTCTTAATTCTGGTTCCAACTAAATTTGACACTATGGGCAAAGGATTTAAGACCATTAATGCTAGCCTTGTGATTGCTTGTTGTTGCTTTTTACTTGGGTGGTGGACAAATTCACTTCATCATGAAGCAGTGCCTTCAAAAGTTGTTTTTTGTTTTGTTTATTATTATTATTTTTTAAACTGGAGATTGAACTCAGGGGCGCTTAACCACTGAGCTACATCTCCAGCCCTTTTATATTTTTTATTTTGAGACAACAGAGTCTTGCTGTTGCTTAGACCTTGCTGAGTAGCTTAGGGCCTTGCTGAGTTACTAAGGCGGCCTTGAACTTGCAATCCTTCTATGCCAGCCTCCCAAGTTGCTGGAATTATAGATATGTACCACTGTGCCTGGCTTTGTTTTTTGATTTTTTAAAGAAAATTTATACTTGCACTTTATTGTTTTTCCACAGTCTTTATTTCTGCATTATAATTATACATAATGATGGGATTTGTTGTTACACATTCGTACATGCACACAATATGACAATATAGTTTGGCTAATATGTTCTCTTTTTTTTTTTAAGAGAGAGTGAGAGATGGGGAGAGAGAGAATTTTTTTTTTTTTAATATTTATTTTTTAGTTTTCGGCGGACACAACATCTTTGTTTGTATGTGGTGCTGAGGATCGAACCCGGGCCGCACACATGCCAGGCGAGCGCGCTACCGCTTGAGCCATATCCCCAGCCCATATGTTCTCTTTTTTAAATAGAAATATACCACTCCTACAATTCTTGCTGAAGCATCATAGATGTGAGTTAATTCTTCTTCCTTTTATTTGAGAAATAATTATTCAGTACCTACCGTGTACCAGGCAATTTGCAAGACAAGTAAATACTGGGACAAACACGAAAAACAGTCTTTGTCCTCATGGAACTTGCAGTTTAGCAGAGAAAACAGACCTCTCAGTATCATAGTTATAAAAAAAATAGTTCATAAGAGAAGTACAAATTACTGTGAGTAGATAAAACAACAACCTTATAATGGTAATAGAAGTAGTAGCTGACATTTATATAGCCCTTGTTATGTGCAAGATCTTTCTATGTTAATCCATAACAACTCTGTGGATGATACTGTTATTATCCCACTTTCCTCTTGAGGAAGCTGAGGCCCTGGCTGAATCACTTTCCATGGTCACCTTGCTAATAAATGGAATGCTGTGATGAATCCTGTGCCTTAGAAGCTCAGAGCCTGCTAGGTGGACTTTTCTTTCCACATTTGAAGACCTGGCTCACCGCTCAAATCTGACCCCAGCTCCTCACTCTTCCTCACATGGTTTGGTTCCCAGATGTTGGTGCGCATCATTGTTGGGACTACATATAAAAATCTGGAGTTGTATGTATTGTATTTAATATATTCATTTCCCTCCAAGGTTCAAGCACTGTCTTCCTGTTGGCCCTGACAATCATAGCCAGCATTCAGGCTCTGACGCCCACCCACTACCTCACCAAGCATGACGTGGAGAGACTGAAAGCCTCGCTGGACCGCCCCTTCACAAGTTTAGAATCTGCCTTCTACTCCATCGTGGGACTCAGCAGCCTTGGGGCCCAGGTGCCAGATGTAAAGGTATGACTTTTGCCTTGGTGTCCTGAGTGATTCAGAGAACCTTCTTCTCCTCACTGGGTTCCTTTTGGGTACTTCAAAACAAACTCTTGGGGCTGGGGTTGTGGCTCACGGAAGAGCGCTTGCCTCACACGTGTGAGACCCTGGGTTCGATCCTCAGCACCACACAAAAATAAATAAGTGAAATAAAGGTATTGTGTCCAACTACAACTAAAAAATAAATATTAAAAAAAAACCAAAACTCTTCTCATTTGAGGGCAACCAAGGTCAGTCCAATATAAGAAATACTTATTTCAATCTAACAGATTTTCTTTTTTTTTTAAATATTTATTTATTTATTTATTTTGTTGTAGTTGGGCACAATACCTTTGTTTTTATTTTTTTTAATGTGGTGCTGAGGATCGAACCCAGGGCCTCACACGCGCTAGGTGAGCGCTCTACCACTGAGCCACAACCCAAGCCCCTAACAGATTTTCTTTTTGAGTGCTTAATGTATATTTAGGAGCATGCTAGGTGTTCTTAGTGAAATAGAACAAGTTTTCGATCCTCTAGAAACCTATACTGTAGCCCTGTGAGTGAGACCGTTCAGTACCACAGGTACTTGTAAAGTGCCTAGGTGTTTGGATAATCAGTGATTAAAGAATTCAAGTTGGGGGCACTCCCACTTGTTAAGCTCGACAGTCACTGTATCAGGTCACTTTGGTGTACTTTGTGGACTTTTGATGAGGAGAATGCATCATTATTTAAACCTTTTCTGGATTCAGGAACAGTGGTGAGGGAATTTATATTTTATTCATTGCAACAGAATGGACAGCTAGGCTAAGAAATTTTCCTATGTACCTTTTTTTGTGGGGAGGGTGGTTACCAGGGATTGAACTCTGGGGCACTCCTTACTGAGCCACATCCCCAGCCCTATTTTGTATTTTATTTAGAGACAGAGTCTCACTGAGTTGCTTAGTGCCTTGCTGTTGCTGAGGTTGGCTTTGAACTCATGATCCTCTTGTCTCAGCCACCGGAGCTACTGGGATTACAGGCATGAGCCACTTGTTCCTGGCTCATATATACCTTTGTTTTCAATGACTATACAACAAATTTCTGTAAACTTAGGGAGTTAAATCACCATCCATTTATAAGCTGATATTCTGCAGGTCAGAAGTTATCCAGGCAGTTTTCCTGGACTTGCTTTTTAGTGTCTCCTAAAGTCAAGGTGAAGGTATTGACCAGGCTGAGCTCTTACTGGAAGCTCTGGTGAAGAATCTGTTTCTAAGCTCATTCAGGTTGACAGAATCCAGTCCCTTATAGTTTTAAGTCTGAGGTCCTTACTTTCTTACTGGCTCAAGCCAATGGTTGCTCTCTGCTCATCAAAGCTACCCAAATTTCTTCTCATGGGGCCAGCAATAGTGTCTCTCTCTTGCCTCCATTTCTACCATCAGCCAGAGAAAACTGCTCTTAAAGGGCTCACCTGCTTAGGTCAGGCCCACTTGCATAATCTCTGAATTCTAAGGTCAACTGACTTGAGGTTTTTAAATATACCTGCAAAAATCCCTTCATAGTAGTTTCTAGATTTGTGTTTAAGTGAATAATTAGTGAATGGAAATCTTAGGGGTGGGTGAGCAACTTTTAGACTTCTGCCTTCCATATCTTATATTGGCATTGAAATGATTCTAAATCTCAGTGACAAAATTTGTTTTTTGTTTATTCACTTGAGGCTTCCCTTTATATTTCTTCAGTCTGGGATTTAGCTGATGGAGTAGTCTATCTGGAACATGTGCAGAAAGCAAATGGAGTATATGGTTCTTTTTTTTTTTTTTTTTTTAATATTTATTTTTTTTAGTTTTCGGCGGACACAACATCTTTGTTTGTATGTGGTGCTGAGGATCGAACCCAGCGCCCCGCACATGCTAGGTGAGCGCGCTACCGCTTGAGCCACATCCCCAGTCCCAAGTATATGGTTCTTAAAACTTCTGCTCCGGCTGAGTATAGTGGCACACTCCTGTAATCTCAGCATCTTGGGAGGCTGAGGCAGGAGTATTGCAAGTTCAAGGCCAGTGTCAGCAACTTAGTGAGACCCTGTTTCAAATAAAATAAAATAAAAAGGACTGGGGATGTGGCTCAGTGGTAAAGCCCCTCAGTTCAATCTCTGGTACAAAAACAAAGAAAAGAAAAGAAAAACAACAACAAAACAAAACTTCTTCATAGAAGAGACACATTATACGTTACTTCTTTTCATTTTTCTCATTTTGTTGTCTAATGCCAGTCACATAGTCCTGTGTGGATTCAGTAAGTCAGGGAGGTAGAGAGACAGTGCATTTTGGTGAATAGAACTCATCCAACTAGCTCCTGGATCCTTTTGTCTCAGTGCTGTCCTACGAGCGAGCCTCTTTGGCTCTAGTCTAACAGTTCCTTTTCCGAGAAGAGTGGTAAGCACCCCAACACACTGGATGGGCAGTGTAGCCCATGTTAGTCTGAATTCATTCATTGAGCAGTTGTTAACTGAGCGCTTGTGTTAGGCCCTGAGTCAGTCATAATCACTGCACTCAGGGAACTTATGGTAAGCTGGAAGTTAGAAAAGAGTAGTGCTGAGCCAGGTGCAGTAGTACACACCTGTAGTCCTAGAGACTTGAGAGGCTGAGATGGAAAGACTGCAAGTTTGAGACCAGACTCAGCAACTTAGCAAGACTTTGTCTAAAAAAAAAAAGGCTGGGGATGTAGCTCATCAGTAAATTGCAATCCCCAGTACCCGCCTCTGTCCCCTGCAAAAAATAAATAAATAAATAAATAAATAAAAGGCCTGTAATTCGGATGTGTTCTGCTTCAAAGGTCGTGTGTTAAAGGCTCGGTCCTCATCCCATGGTGCTGTTGAGAGGTAGTGGGCACTATAAGAGGTGGGGTCTACTGGGAGGTTGTTAGTCCATTAGGGGTATGCCCTTGAAGAGGATTGTGGAACCCTGGTCCCTTTGCTTCTTTGGTCCTTTCCTTCTCTTGCTCCCTGGCCATACACATAGTGCCATTGCTCAAAGCAATGGGGCCAACCATTCATAAACTGAAACCTCTAAAACTATAAGCTAATATAAACCTTTTCTTTTTGTTAGTTGATTATGTCAGCTATTTTGCTACAGTAACAGAAAACTAATACGAATCAGCCTTTTATTATGGAAGTTTTCAAACATTCACAAAATTGCCATTTGCTAGCTTGAACAGTTATTTACATTTTGCCATTTTGATTATGATTACTTGTTTTCTCCTTTATTTTTGCTGGAATATTTTATTTATTTTTAAGATAAGATCTTACATGCCTGTGATCCCATCTACTTGGGATACTAAGTCAGGAGAATCACCTTACGGGTTTGAGGCCAGCCTGGCACTAGGCCAGCAACTGGACTATTTTAAAGCAGATATTAGACAAATCGTTTTACTTATATCTCTTCATGGGAACTTTTGTTTTAACAATAATAGCAGTGTTTTTATTTTGTCCATCCATTTAAAAAATATATTTTTAGTTGTAGATGGAGATAGTAACTTTATTTTATTTATTTACTTTTATTTGGTGCTGAGGATTGAACCCAGTGCCAGGCAGGTGCTCCACCACTGAGCCACAACCCCATCCCCTCTATCCATTATTAATAGTAGTTTTTTTTTTTTTTTATGTCATTTAATTCTCAGTCTATGTTCATTTATCTCTAATTATCCCAAAATTGTCTTGAAGAGGTAGTTGGTTTAAGTCCACATCTGAACAAGGTCCATACGTTGCATTTTGTTGATGTCTCCTAAGTCTCTTTTTACCTGTAATAGTTCCTGTTCCCTCTATCCCCTCATACCACTTCTTTCTCTTTTTTTTATGATACTAGTGATTGAACCGGGGCCTCACCCATGCTAGGCTAGCATACCTACCACTGAGCTGTGTCCCCAGTTCTTTTTAAATTGCTCAGGCTGGTATCAAACTTTCAATCCTCCTGCCTCAGCCTCCCAAGTAGCTAGAATTATAAACATGAGCCACCTCGCCTGCCGCCCCGTTCCATTTGTGGGAAAAGCTGGGTCACTTGTCTTGGAGAATTTTCAACATTCTGCCTTTGCATCATCATGTTTTTTAACATATTGCTCTATTCCTTGTACTCCTTTACCCTGATAGTTACCTCTTGAGGCTTAATTATATTCAGAGTCAGTTTTCTTGGCAAAAATATTTCAGAGGTAGTTCTGTGTATTTCTGTCAAGAGATACATGTCTGATTGTTTAACTCTTAGTGATAAAGTTGGATCAGTGGATCAAGGTATCCAACTAATCTGTGTGCATACATATACAGTGTATGGTAGGGACAGTCTTTTATAAAAATCCAGCCTGGCAGTTTCTGCCTTTTAGTTGGGGAGTTTATTCCACTTATGTTTAATAAAATTATACTGTTTGGTTAAAATCTACTGTCTCAAAGTTTTCTATTTATCTGTTTTTTCCCCTTCTTACCTCTCTTCTTTTAGATTAGGTATTTTTTAGTATTACATTTTTTATCTTCTATTGGTGTTTAGCTTTATTATAATATGCATCTTAATTTATCACAGTGTAATTTGAGTTAACTTTCTTTCAAGGATCACAGCTTTGTGCTGTCGTCCAGTGTCTTGACTTCATATATTTTGTCTTATTTTATAGTTACTTATGGTAGGAGGGGTAAATTCAATTCCTTTAATTCTGTTATGGCCAGAACTCTGGTAGTCCCTGTTGATCTCTTCCAGATCTACTTCAGTTGTATTCTTTTTTTTTTTTTAATATTTTTTTTAGTTATAGATGAACACAATGTCTTTGTTTTTTTTTAATTATTTTTATGTGGTGCTGAGGATCGAACCCAGTGCCTAACATGTGCTAGGTAAGCGCTCTGCCACTGAGCCACAACCCAGTCCCAGTTATATTCTTCTTAATGCTCAAAATGTCCCATCTTGGGCTGGGGATGTGGCTCAAGCAGTAACGTGCTCTCCTGGCATGCACGGGGCACTGAGTTCGATCCTCAGCACCACATA